GAAAGGAGCCTATGCCAACAATGTCAGAAGAGACTCCTTATAACTCAGCGCTACGATGGGGTCACCTGCCCATCCAAGGTCAACCACTTGATGGACCTGTCCTGAATGGGCAGAATGTGGATTTCAAGAGAACTGAGAGAAAGGGAGTGGTCCCCCAGGAACGATTGGGGTAGCAGTGACCTGGAGAAGGGGAACTAGGTCCTGGGACTCAAGGCAGCAGATTCCACTTGATCCTAAATTCCCCAGATTTCTCTACCTGCTTGGGTCCCACTTTGGGGCCTGGGGACAGGCCTTGATGGCAAGACATCATTCATTCATTTGCTCAACAAATATTGGCACCTACTCTGTGCCCTACCATTCATGCATGCATTCCTTTATTCACTCAGCATTTATTAAGCACCTACTATGTGTCCCACCATTCATGAGCGCAAGCATTCTTTCATTCACTCAGCAGACATTTGTTAAGCATCTACTATTTGCCAGGCACAGTTCTAGGCGCAGGGGAGCCAGCAGTGAACAAAGTGAACAAAATCTCAGCCAATGGGAAAGGAAAGTAGAAGGAACAGACAAAAGCAAGTCAGTCAATATATATGATGTGTCCGAAGGTGATAAATACTAAAGAGGAGAAACCGGGAAAGAGGTCAGAGGTGTGGAGGTTGCTATGTGAGATGGAAGGATCAGGAAGGACTCACCTGAAGGTGTTCTCTAAGTGCACATGCACTGGACAGAGGGACAGCCACCACAAGGGCCTGGGGATGGGGAGCCTGTGGAGATCTGTGCCCCCAACTAATGGGCCACCACCCTGCCCATCTGTCCCTTTCTGTCCCATCCTGGCCTTTTGGTGAGTCGGGTCCTGCAGGTGTGATCCGCTCGCTGCACAACCTTGGCCGCCTGAAGCATGTCTTCTGCACGGAGACCCGGCCCTACAACCAGGGGGCCCGGCTGACAGCCTTCGAGCTGGTCTACGAGCAGATTCCCGCCACCCTCATCACCGACAGCATGGCAGCAGCCACCATGGCTCACCGGGACGTGTCAGGTCAGCAGTGAGGTGCCGGCAGGCAGGGCACCGTCACTCAGGGCTCCGGGCATCCAGGGTCAGGTGATGACCCCCGACATCTTGCTCCCCAGCTGTTGTTGTGGGAGCTGACCGTGTGGTTGCCAATGGTGACACAGCCAACAAGGTGGGCACCTACCAGCTGGCCATCGCCGCCAAGTACCATGGCATCCCCTTCTACGTAGCTGCCCCCAGCTCCTCATGTGACCTCCGTCTGGAGATGGGCCAGCAGATCGTCATTGAGGAGCGGCCCGGCCAGGAGCTGACTGATGTCAACGGGGTCAGGATTGCAGCACCCGGTAAGCCATCACTCAGCGGGGTACCAGAATCTGGGCACCTTCAGTTACGTATCCATCCCCTTCACAGGAGGCAAGTCGCATTTGGGGTGTCATCAGCCTTCTAGGGCACAAGCAACTTCAAGCCAGTTTTAGAAACAGAAACATGTTGGAAGTCAAATTCAAAGTGAGAATGGCCGGCCTACTCTTGAGTTGAGAAACCTTGAGTAAAGTGTCTTGCCATTCTCTACCACGGTTTCCTCACCTGAAGAACAAATAAGAATCCTGTTCAGCCAAGTGCCTATGAAGAGACACAGATATTTTTTAGCCTCCCCATGCTCCCTGGCTGTGCAGCTACGAGCAGGTTGCCTAAGTTCTCTCATTGCTAAGAGCCCCTGTGTTCCTATCTATAGAAGAGCTGTTATTATGACTTACCTCATAAATCCCAGGGCCTTCAGTGAATTAACCCACATGACCTGGAGACCCTACAGGGACCCTGACTGGTGTTGCTCAGTGGTTAAGCATCCACCTATGAACCAGGAGCCACAGTTCAGTTCTCAGACAGGGCACATGCCCAGGTTGCGGACTTGATCCCCAGTGGGGGTTGTGCAGGAGGCAGCCAATCAATGATTCTCTCTCATTATTGATGTTTCTATCTCTCTCCCTCTCTGAAATCAATAAAAATATACATATTTTTAAAATAATAACAATATACAGCGCAGCTAGTATGGATCAGTGGTGGAACATCAACCCATGAACTAGGAGGTCATGGTTTGATTGCCAGTCAGGCTACATGCCTGGGTTTTGGGCTTAATCCAGAGTAATAGAGGGCATGCAGGAGGCAGCCGATTAATGATTCTCAACAGTGATGTTTCCAATCCTTCTCTCCCTCCCTCCCTTCCTGTCTCTAAAAAAAATTTTTTTTTAAAGAGATGGGGGGCTGTAGCCTGTTTGGCTTAATGATAGAGCGTCGGTCTGCGGACCAGCAGATCCCAGATTCAATTTCAATCAAGGGCACATAACTTGGTTGCAGGCTCCTCCCCAGCCCAGGCTCTCATTGGGGATTCGTGCAGGAGGCAACCAATCAATGTGTTTCTCTCACATCAATGTTTCTCTGTCTTTCTCTTCCACTTTCCCTAAAAACCAATGGAAAAATATCCTTGGGTGAGGAGTAACAAAAAAATAAATAACTTTAAAAAGAAAAAGCTTTAAAAAAACAAAACTATACAGCCCTGGCCAGTGTAGCTCAGTTCGTTGGGCGTTGTCCCATGCACCAAGGGGTCACTGGTTTGATTCCTGGTCGGGGCATGTGCACAGGTTGTGGGTTCAGTCCCCAGTTGGGGCCGGTGTGGGAGGCAACTAATTGATGTTTTGCTCTCTCATTGATGTTTCTCCCTTCCTCACTCTAAAGTCAATAAAAACATTTTTTTAAAAAACACTATACAGCCCTAGCCGGTTTGGCTCAGTGGATAGAGCGTCGGCCTGCGGACTCAAGGGTCCCAGGTTCGATTCTGGTCAAGGGCATGTACCTTGGTTGTGGGCACATGCCCAGTGGGGAGTGTGCAGGAGGCAGCTGATCGATGTTTCTCTCTCATCGATGTTTCTAACTCTCTATCCCTCTCTCTTCCTCTCTGTAAAAAATCAATAAACATTTTTTTAATATATGAAATTTCCCACCTTTTGAAAGGTAGCAGCTAATTCAGTGGACTCAAAAAACTGTGAGCCTGCCCTAGCTGGTTGCTCAATGGTTAGAGCACCAGCCCCTGGACTGAACTGTCTCGAGTTTGATTCCGGTCCAGGGCATGTACCTCTGTTGCAGGCTCGATCCCCAGCATTCAGTCAGTCTCTCACATCCATGTTTCTCTCTCTCTGTCTCTCCTGCCCCTTTCTACTTTCTAAATATTAATGGGGGAAAAATATCCTCAGGTGAGGATTAACAAATAAACAGCTGTGAGCCAGAGAAAAAAGTTACAGGCCACCAGTTTGCAGCCTCTTGTGTAAGAAATTGTGGTATACGCTGAGTACTTCATTCAGCAAATGTTTTTGAGCCCCTGAGTAATGCTAAGTGCTGGGATAGAGGAGTGAAAAAAGACACAAAACTCCATGCCCTCACAGAGCTGACAGATTGGTCAGGGAGACAGACAATAAGATAAATAACACAATTATAGGAAGTAAGGGCTGAGGAGAAGTAAACAAGGCAAGGACGTGTCTGTACAGGGGGTTTAGACAAGATGATCAGAGTCCTTCTCACTGAAAAGGTGACATTTGAGCAAAGACTGAAGGAAATGAAACATTGAGTTGTGCATATCTGAGGTAGAGCTTCGAGGCAGAGGGCAGAGGGCATGCAGAGGCCCTGGAGTGGATTCTTGGAGGTTCTAAAAGAGATCCAGGCAAGAGTAGGATGGATATATATAAGACTGAAACCTTCTTAGTGACAATTCAGGAATGGTATGCGGAGAGGAGTCTAAACTTGTTACTGGGTACCAAAGCCCATGTCTTTGTGCACTTTTGGGGTGAGTATCCCCAGATTCTCCAGAATTCCCTAACTCCAACAACCACCATGGGTGTGGCGGGACAGGTGACAACTGGAGAACTTTCACAGAAGCAAATACTTACCTTCTTGCCTCCCTTCTCTCCCCTGTAGGAATTGGGGTTTGGAATCCTGCCTTCGATGTCACCCCCCATGACCTCATCACTGGTGGCATCATCACAGAGCTGGGTGTCTTTACTCCCAAAGAACTCCAGGCAGCCCTAAGCACCACCATCTCCTGAGGGTGGGGACATTAGATGGACCCCAGAAGTAACCAACCCGGCTCTCCATACCCTTCTCCATCCCCCTAGGGTTTTTTTTTAAATATATTTTATTGATTTTTTACAGAGAGGAAGGGAGAGAGAGAGTTAGAAACATCGATGAGAGAGAAACATCGATCAGCTGCCTCTTGCACATCTCCCACTGGGGATGTGCCCGCAACCCAGGTACATGCCCTTGACCGGAATCGAACCTGGGACCTTTCAGTCTGCAGGCCGACGCTCTATCCACTGAGCCAAACCGGTTTCGGCGATCCCCCTAGGTTTTATAATAAAATGTATTGAATAGTCTGCCCCAAAGCTGACCTTCCCCCAATTACACTTCTTCCTAGAGCAGGGATAGCAGACAGAGTCGTTGCATGGCTCTTAAAAGTGCAGCAGCTGGAGACAGGCTACCCAAGTTCCCATCCCAGTTCTGCCACTCTCTGCTGTGTGATCTTGGCCAAGTCACCTCACCTTTCCATGCTGTGGTTTCCTCATTTATAACGGGGACAATACCTATGGCCTTCTTAGGTTGCTCTCAGGACCGGAACTAGGGTAACACCTTAGGCACAAAATTTTAAACGGGACACCAAAAAGCTTAGTAACCAAGATAATACTTTCATGCAGTATTTTTAAAAATCAAAATGAATGCAAGAAAAATACATGAGCCCTAACCGGTTTGGCTCAGTGGATAGATTGCCGGCCTGCGGACTGAAGGGTCCCAGGTTCGATTCCGGTCAAGGGCATGTACCTTGGCTGCGGGCACATCCCCAGTAGGGGGTATAGAGGAGGCAGCTGATACCTGTTTCTCTCGTCGATGTTTCTAACTCTCTATCCCTCTCCCTTCCTCTCTGTAAAAAATCAATAAGATATATATTTTAAAAAGAAAATACATGAGGAACAAAATACCAAGATACTAAATAGAATGGAAGCCTACCTTTGCACACCTTGACCTTAACCTCTGATACCAGCCCTTGTCCCAATAAAACTTTATTTGCAACATCAGACCACCAATCTACAAGCAGTAGTTTCACGGCTTGATTTTTTTTTAATATTAAAATGTTACTTTTAAATGTTGAAAACACTATCTTGATTACAGAATTTTTGGGTACCCTTAAATTTTGCACCAGTAAGTGCCTAACTTACCTCATTTTTGTTCTGGACTGAATTTTACATACAAAGTGCATAAAACTATACGTTTTACAAAGCATGAGCGCCCAGTGAACATCAGTTTGTCATTGTAACCTTCCCTTTTCAAGTTTTTGCCAAACGCTGTCAATAAAGTACCGTCTTTGTCAGAACGCCAACTCTTTGCCACGTTGTTTCCCATGCGCCCATGCGCGTCTTGGCCCCAGTGTATCCCATCGTGCCCTGCGTCTTCCGGTTACAAGTGTCAGCCCGGCTTTTTCCTGCGCACGTTCCGTCATGGCGCAGGGGCAGCGCAAGTTCCAGGCGCAGAAGCCGGCCAAGAGCAAGGCGGCGGCGGCCTCGGAGCGCAGCCGGGGCCCGAGGAAGGGAGGTGAGGAGCGGGCCGGGGGCTGCGCGGGGTGGGCGGGGTGGGCCTGGGCGCCCTGACCTCACGCGAGGGTGTCTCCCCCAGGTCGTGTTATCGCTCCCAAGAAGGTGCGTGTTGTGCAACAGCGAAAGCTCAAGAAGGTGAGCGGGGTCGTGCGGGGGGCGAGGGTTGGAGCCTGGAGGTCGGTGCAGGGCGGGGTCGGGGATGAAGTCAGGATCCGCGGATGGATCCTGGAGAATTCCCGACTCAGCCTCCCGCGTGCGGTGTGGACAGGACCCTCACCTGTTGTTCCGCGGGCCTCTCAGCGGTCGCCTCCCGGTGGTCCGCGCGGTCCGAAAGGTTGGCGACCGCGGGTTCAAGGAAACCTTTGGAGCATCGGTCGCCAACGTCGAAGCACGGCCTGGCGCGCGGAACGTATTCCGCACTCACTCAGCTGCTGTGCACGAAGGCGGTGCTGGAGGCAGATCGCAGTCCATGGGTAATACAGTGGAACCTCGGTTCTCGAACTTCATTTGTTCAAGAAGCGATTCGTTCGAAGACCCAGTCGTTTTGCCCATTAGAAATCATGTAAATTTAATCCATTCCAGACCCACAGATGATTCCCTTTTTTTAAAACCTTTCTTATACATAGTATATGTCTAAAGTACTGTTTCATGTATAATTTAAACACTTTTTTCTTAAGTTTACGGAAACACCCCCTACTGACCTTAAGTCACTTTAGCATTCATTCCAGGGATGTCTTTCAGGTCAGCATCCGGCATCGGAGCTGCTTGGTGTGTCCCTGCCTCCGAAATGCTGTCAGTGGCCAACGGCTTTTCCTTTATCCAAAGCAAGTTTTCCTGCCTCAGTTGCCTGTGATCATTGCTTCTTTCACACCCTTAGCAACATTAGCACTCTCGATGACCTCTTTGTGTTTTAAAATTGTGCTAATCGTCCTTTTCACCACCAACAAAAGCACTTTCTCCTTTGTCTATTGCCTGAGAGGCATGAAAGGGTTGTCTGGTCCAAAACCGAGACATTTTTTCTGTGAACTTGGTTGAGGACCGAATTGTCCAAGATCGGACACATTCGAGAACCGAGGTTTGGCTGTATTTGTTCACCATGAGCCTCTTACCCGTGAAACAGAGTTGTAAGGATTCAGGGCCATAGGGCTCCTGTAGAGCGCTGAGAACAGCGCAGGCACAAAGAAACATTAGCCGTGTTGGTTATTGTCATTTCTAGGGGTAAGCTTAAGAAGTTACAGAAAATTAAAACATTTTGGTGGCGTCAGATCTGATTTTGGGTTGTAACCCACACTAACTAGGGCAGTGATGGTGAACCTTTTGAGCTCGGCGTGTCAGCATTTTGAAAAACCCTAACTTAACTCTGGTGCCGTGTCACATATAGAAATTTTTTGGTATTTGCAACCATAGTAAAACACTTATATTTTTGATATTTATTTTACATATTTAAATGCCATTTAACAAAGAAAAATCAACCAAAAAAATGAGTTTGCGTGTCACTTCTGACACGCGTGTCATTGGTTCACCATCACTGAAGTAGTGTGTAACCTTCATCAAATTGTTTCGTTTCCCCAGAGCCTCGGTTTTCCCAGACCTGGGTCCCCAGCAGCCTGCTTACCTCCAGTCTTCATTTAGGAAGAGTCTGTCCTACCAAATTTCAAAATATTCGGGATCATCCAGGATCTCCCCTTACCCTCTCCTCCCTGATCTGCCCCCCACCATCCCCCATAGCAGCCAGAGGGCGCCTGTGAGCACTTAAAAGTCCAATCCTGTTGCTTTCTCTGCTCAGGACCCTGGTGGCTCTACCTCATTTGAGGGTGGGGGGAGGGGGGGCGACGACCAAGTCCTCCACAAAGCCCTATACACTATGCCCCCCCTCACTTCCCTGCCCTCTCCTCCCACTCTCCCCCTTGCTCCCTCCAGCCTCACTGGCCCTTTAACTGCTCCTTGTCGCACTTCAGCTTTGCACTGGCTATTTCTTCTGCCCCAAATCCACATGGCTCCCTTCCTCTGAGTCAGGTCCCACTGCAAGTGTTGCTTCGGAGCAGTTTGTTCCTCCTGGCGGCCCCCAGCTCCTCCCCCCACACACACTCACTCACCCTTATTTTCTTTTCTCTGTAACACCTACCGTTTCTCCTCCTTCAGCAGTTTAACATAATGTAACGTAACAATGGCATTTACATTGTCCCCACACATGCACCGGATGTCAGCTCACTGAAGGCAGAGGGTCTCCTGTGTCCTCTTTGTTGTTGTGTCTCCGGTGCCCTGGCATGCGGTGCTGGCTGTGGCGGGGTCGTGGCGTTGGAGTTCATACAGGCAGGGCAGGGGGATGGTTTGGGGAATGTGATTAAACTACCAGTTTGGGACCCAGACACACTTGGCTTCTAACCCCTGTGCCTTTACTTGCTCACATCCCTGTCTCAGAGCCCCAGTTCCCCATGTGCAAAGCGGAGATGACATGGGACAGGAGGGACTGTCCATGGACTGAGACCAGAGACTCTAGGCATGCCAGGGTCCAGTCTCCTCTCATGTGGTTTGCGAACCCTGGGCAACTGTCTCCTCCCTGCAGGAGCCTCGATTTCCCCTTCAGTGAAATGGGAGCGAGCAGAAGTTTGGAAGCTGAGGTCCAGGGATGAGAAAGGAGTGTGTGTGTGTGTGTGTGTGTGTGTGTGTGTGTGTGTAACACCACAAAGAGTGTGGGTCAAACGCAGGACTTAAACCACAGCCTCCGGACTCTCAGGTGCTGTTTCAGGGGGCGGGGCGTCACTGATCCAGCCCCAGGTCAGGACCTCGCTCACTCCCTGGGCCTCAGATCCAGTCTGATTGCCCCTCGGTTGCCCCTTCAGGACCTGGAGGTCGGGATCCGGAAGAAGATTGAACATGATGTGGTGATGAAAGCCAGCACCAGCCTGCCCAAGAAGCTGGCGCTGCTGAAAGCCCCCGCCAAGAAGAAGTAGGCAGCCTCTTCCTCCACCAAGACCCGTTCCTAAGGACGCAGCCCTGCCTCCATGCTCAGACCTCTGCAGCGGACTCCGCAGGCAGCACCATGGACAGAAGGAGCCTGCTCCCCAGAGCCTTGTGTTGCAGCTCGAACTTTGGAATTGGGGGGGGAGGGGGGGAGCTGGCCTGTGAGCAGGTGACCAGCACGTCTGTAGTGCATGGGTCAGTTTCCCAGGTGCCAGGAATTCAGCAGTGGCCTTGAGGAAATGTTCACCAACTTCTTGTACCGTCCTCCCTGGGTTTCTGTGTCCGCTGGTTTAATTGGAGCAATAAACCTGGCTTTGTCATTCCTCTTGCAGTGACAGGCTCTGTGAGCAGGCCAGGGCCAGAGGCCAGGCGCACTGACCTGGTCAGCCTCGGCCATGTCTTCAGGAGACCAACCACATACTCAGGGAGGGGTGATTGACCTTCTGCACGTCCATCCTGGGAGCTTGTGGAGAATCTTCCCTCCAACCCCAGGCGACTCACTTACCTCCTTACCTGCCTAGGTCACCCCTCTGCCTGGTACAAGCCAGGAGATATGGGAGCCATTTTCCCATCTGGAGGACAGGTGTTGATTAAACCAGAATGCACTTACGAACTGCTCACAGCCACCTCTATCTATTAAAATAAAGTCAAAATATTTAGAATGTCTATGGCCCAGGCATTGTTCTAGTGCTTTCTGCACATCACTTCATCCCAAGTACACTCCAGAGCCAGTACTTGAACCCGCCACTGGCTGAGTCCCAGTGTGTGCTCAGCTGACCATCCCCCGCCTCTCTTCCCACACCAAGATTCTTCTTCTGCTTCATCCTGAGCACCCCTTCCCCAAATCCTCACTCGAGTCTGCTGCCGGGAGCTCTGGCCTGGTGACCGCCCTGCTCTCCCTCCGTTGGGGGTGAGCGGGAGGTCTCAGCACAGTGACCAGGCCGGGCCCAAGGAAACCAAACTGGAAAGTCCTTCAGTTCAGGCTCTGCTACCACAGCTCTCAATTCTTTGAGATGTAAAGTAGGGTTTTTTGTGCGTGAAATTGCTCTCCCAGCTTTTGTGTATGTGTGTGTGGTTAAAACACATAAAATTAACACTTAGAAGTATGCAATTCAGTGGCATTTTGTGCATTCACAATGTTTTTGGGACTACCCGAAAATTAGCACTGAAAAGATGACCTATCCCCAGTAGCTGTCACTGCCTGTTCCCCCTTCCCCTCCCTGGCACCCACTGATTTGCTTTCTGTCTCTCTAGGTCAGTGGTTCTCAGCCTTGGCTGCACATGAGAATCACCTGGGAATCTTGTTAAAATCCTGATTTCTGGGCCTCATCCTCCGGAAATTCTGTTTCTTCATTATGGGATGAGGCCACAACATTGGTAACAAAGAAACAGAATTTCCGGAGGATGGGGCCCAGAAATCAGAATTTTAACAAGATTCCCAGGTGATTCTCATGTGCAGCCAAGGTTGAGAACCACTGCTCTAGGTGTTTGTTAAATGAAGGAATTATTTCTGCAAAGAAAAAACTTACTTGTTTTTTAATTCTCACGTGAGGATATTTTTCCATTGACTTTTAGAGAGTGGAAGAGAGAGAAATATCGATGTGAAAGAAGCACATCTATTGGTGGCCTCCTGCAAGCGCCTTGACCAGGAAGGGCCCAGGCCGGGAAGGAGCCTGCAACCGAGGTACGTGCCCTTGACCGGAATCGGACCCGGGACCCTTTGGTCCGCAGGCTGACGCTTTATCCACTGAGCCAAGCCTGCCAGGGCCTGCAAAGAAAATTTTGCAGTTTCAGTGACTCAGTTACCATCACTCAGTGCATCATCTCTATACAACACACCCTCCCTGGCTGTCTGATTCATAGTATTAGCATTAGCATTAGCATTTTCTTTGAAAGATTTTACTGCTCTAAATTGTAAACAGCTGATAGTAATACCAAAACACTCTTATCTGAAGACTTTCAAATTCCAGCTCTTCCAACAGAGGTTCCATTGACAGTCCTCCCTAGTGGTAAAATCAGTTTGCCTCCACATGTATAACATATAACATCTGCCTGGATCCCACGTGAGTTCCATAAAAATGTTATCACAGCCCTAACCGGTTTGGCTCAGTGAATAGAGCGTCAGCCTGTGGACTGAAAGGTCCCAGGTTCGATTCCAGTCAAGGGCATGTACCTTGGTTTCGGGCACATCCCCAGTGGCGGGGGGGTGCAGGAGGCAGTTGATCAATGTTACTCTCTCATCGATGTTTCTAACTCTCTATCCCTCTCCCTTCCTCTCTGTAAAAAATATATTTTTAAAAAAATGTTAACACATTCATGTTTTTTAAAAATATTTTTATTGATTTCAGAAAGGAAGGGAGAGGAAGAGAGAGATAAAAACATCCATGATGAGAATCACTGATCAGCTGCCTCCTTGTACGCCTCCTACTGGGGATTGAGCCCGCAACCCGGGCATGTGCCCCTGACCGAAATCAATCCCGGGACCTTTTAGTCCACAGGCCGGCACTATCAACTGAGCCAAACCGGCTACGGCACATGTTCATTTTTATATGTAAGAGCAGATTTCACCCTCCTGAAAATTAACTTTTCTCCAGAATCTCCAAAGATCAATGGCTGGGACAGGATGAGCTTTGGGCAAGGAATGTCATTCAGGTGTGACAGGTATGGGGTCTGGAATGTCAACCCACTTGTTTCCCCATTACCCCACCCCTCAGACTCCCCTAATAGGCACATTTTCCCCTGCAGCCACTGCCCTGCCTGACTTTTCCTTCCATCCTTTCACTGGCCCACAAACCTCCCATTAATGCTGTAGTCAAGAGCCCCAGACTTTGGAAAATCCCACCCCTTTCCTTCTATGCCAATTTCTGCCACTTCCTCTCTGTGACCAAGTCCCTTCACCTCTCTGAGCCTTAGTTTCCCCATCTGTTAAATGGGATCCTGAGAATGGAGAATTCAGGAGCCTTAAGGCCATGGGACTTGCAGGTGTGAATATTAGCTGCCCTTGTGTCCTGTGGGGCAGACGGGAGCCCAGGTCCCACCTCTAGGCCTGTCCCTCCGGGCTCTCCCCAGACACACGGCAGCCATTAAATGTGGCTTTTCAGACACAATTATTCTTCCCCAAGCCTTTTTCTCTTCCCTGCCTCCACCTTCCCCCTCTGCCTGAATGACCGTTTTTCCTGGCAGGGCCCTGACACTGCCCATGAACTTGTGTTCTAAAAGGAAAGAAAAAAAAATGTAAGAAGCAAATCTTGCCAGCAGGGCAGGCCAGAGGGGCTGTGGGGACCAGGAAGTGAAACTGCCCCGGCTGGTTTCCTGCCTGAGTCAACAGGGGCATGGGGGTGCACAGGGGCCTGGCAAAGGGAGCGATCCTCAGAAAATTAGGGTGGGGGTGGCCACAGCTAGGGACTTTGTTCTCCCTCATCTGAGCCTCCAGGGTTGTCCCATTTCCCGTGAGTCTTAAGGACACGTGGGTTTGGGGTCAGGAGCTGCGGATGCCTAGACAGTGAGCTCACAGCCGGCTGGGGAAATAAAAGTGGCTTCTATTTCACTGAAACCCCAGCTCGCTGGCTGCCCTGGGAAAGGGACCACAAGGGTAGCTGGAACCCCCTTCCCAACTTCTTTCCTAAGAGGGCAGACTTGAAATGGGCCTAGTGACTTCCTCCTGGGGGCACCCTCATCTTCCCAAGGGCCTTTCTGACCTCACACATTCTCCTAGGATCACTGTGTGGCCTTGAGCAACTTTCTGATCCTCTCTGGGCCTCATTCCCCTTCTCTGTAAGATCAGGGGATCAGAATAGAATCTTGGTTGTTGGGGTCCAGCCCCAACAGGTCCAGGGGTTCCCAAAGGTGTGGACAGAGTTGGCGAAGAAGGAATGACACGGAGGCAGTGTTCAGTTGATCATCTTAGCCAGGTTTTGGGGGGGGAGGGAGGGGGTTTCAGCTGATCAGCATGGTTAGGTTCTCTTTTATTGTCCTCTTACATCTGTATTTATACCATTTGATCCTGTAAGCATGCCTCTATAATCACATCATGGTATGTTTTGGGTAACCTTCTACAGTTCCTAGTTTCATTTCCATAATCCTGTCTCTATCTAGTTCTGTTGAGTTTAATCCTGTCTAGGTTAATCTCTGTGTTCCATTACAAGAGCTATTCCAAGGTCACTGCTCTACTGATAGTCTGCAAGGAAGTGACTGAAGGAGATTATCCTACCCAGTAAAGGTTATGTCCTCCCAGCCCCGCTGCTTGCCTTCCCTGGGACTGCCCTGTGTCGGTGGATCTCCAGGGGTATAGGCTTTGGTGCTTTCCCTGGTGGGCAGACCCCTGGGGATGTGGGCCCAACAAGTCCCAAATTTATTACTGACAGTCTTAGTCCAAGTTCTTTATAAGTCCTTACTCGGGGAGGTGGCCCTGGCTAGAACACATAGTGCTAAGAAGGGGAGCAAACATATTAAGAACAGTATGCCAGGTCCCTTGAAACATATGCTGTGTAGATGTTCCTTCCCCGCAGCGACTGTGTCAAGCAACAAGGATGGACCGGCTTCCAGCAAATTCCCCCATTTTTATTTTTTAAATGACAGCGCGTGTAAATCAGCGGCCACCTCTCAAATTGGGTTGTTTAAGACTCGGAAGAAGACTTGTCCCACAGGTCAGTCCGAGGCTTAACCCTATATCGGCTCCCCACACTTGGTATATGCCAAACTCAGTGCATTTGATCCCCAGCCAATGTGACAGGGTCTGCTCACCCTCCCAGGCTTCTATCCTGCTATCCTGGCCCTACCCTTTCTGCTAGGGATATTGGGCAGGTTACCCGATCTTTCTGTGCCTCTGTTTGGTCACCCAGAAGATGGGAATGATGACACATTAATCTCTATTGTTAGAGAATAAAATAAAACATCTCTACTCTGTGATAACAGATTCTCAGTTCCTCCTAAACATCCTCTCTTCCACTGGCAGGGAGTGACTTCTCTGGCTCAGCATCCTGGATGCCCACGGAAGCATTCTCAGTGAGAGGGACCTGGGCTTACTCGCACCATCACATACCAGATGCTGAAGGGGGTGGGGAGGCCAGGAAAAGCTGGACCTGGGTCGTTTTCCACCTGAAACATAGGTTTTGTGGAAGTTCTCCCTTCCTCTCTCCTACCCGTTACTACTTCCCCAGGGGTCTCTTTTTCAAATCCTTTGCAGGAAAGGGATGGTCCACTAAGTCTAGGTTTTCCCAGTCGGGGTGAGCTCAGGCCAGGACTCCAACTCTCCAAGCCTCCGTTTCTTCGTCTGAGAAACAGAGACAACTATCCCCACTTGTAGCTCTCTTGGAAGGCTTGAATGTGGCAACATACCTGAGTAGCTAGAGCAGTCAGTCAGTCCACTATTATTATTATTCAGGAAGTTTTTCTGTATTTTTTCAGTCCACTATTATTATTGTTTCTGTTGTCATTATGGTAGGCTGTGTTTTCTCAAGGCCACAGTTATCGAATAGAAATTACAATGCAAGTTGCATGTGTAACTTTAAATGTCCTGACATCTCATAGAATGGAACAGAATAGCATGGGATGGGATGGAATACTAAAATAAAATTAAACAGGTGGAATTAATTTTAATGTTTTAAAAATATATTTTTTATTGCTTTTAGAGAGGAAAGGAGAGGGAGAGAGAGAGAGAAACATCA